AACCTCACTCATTATTTCCGACCACCTCCATTTTTGCCACTTTGTGAGATCGGGTTACTTCTCAAGCTTTTTCCAATCAATTTGGGTACAACCGATCTCTCCAGACTTCACCACCAGCTTCTTTGCCATCAGTTGATTATTGTGATGTATTTTTTGGCTGTTGCTGACTCCTCAATCGTTGGAAATCGAAGCCCAAATTAGTGCCTATAACTTGCTTACTTAAAGTCCTCATCCAGCCAGAGGCTAACCTCATTACCACCAAATTAACGATATCACTTTAAGAGGAGGAATCGAAAATAAATTAAACAAGAGATATCTAACTTGTCATTTCGATAAAGGGGGAACGACTTACACATACCCAAAGTTTGTTGTAAAGATAAAGTGGTACCCAAAAGGTTTGGAAATGACAAACACCCACTTTCCGTCATATTCTGTTAGGAATTTCCATCTATTAAAAGACAAAAATGGTGAAAAGACTGGAATACCCACCGATCTTCATTCCTAACGCGTGCCAGCGAGGGCCAGTGCCACTGTTTGTCACCAAACTTCGGAGAAAAATGTTAAATCCGATCAAAAAATCGATTGATGATGCAAGAAGGCTGTGCAAACGGGCTTGGGGTGAGAATGAAATTACTATACTATCTTTTAACAAACCAAAATCTCTAATAGAATATGACAAAAAATATTTGTTTATCATTTTTAAATTTTTTGGGTATCAATCTGTCTTTATGTCAAACTTTTGGTAGATGAAAGTCGTTTGGCTTTTCTATAAATCTCGGATTGCAGCATGTGCTTTACTCACTAGTTTAAAAAGTTGAAGGATGCTTTTATTTATTTTCAAAGTAAGAAGGCCCACTTAGAGTTGGATCAACCCTCAAAAGACGTGAATGGAAATGGACGGTTTTCATTAGAAATATTACAGTTGATATTATAAAGTATAATTAATTATTACCATAAGAAAAAGCATATAGTATCAAAATTATAATGGGAAAGAAATTAAACTATTAATCTTAGGCCCAGCATCATTACAAAGCCCAGTAATATACAGTGATTTCCTTGTTCATTGCCTCTTTCTTGTGTTCCCAATTATTGGGAGAAGAAAATGGTTAAATTATTAATTAAAGGCCGAACGACTTGCACATACCCAAGGTTTATCGTAACGATAAGTTGATACCCAAAAGGTTTTAAAACGACAAATAGGTACCTTCCGTCATGTTCGATTAGTGATTTTTGTTTATTAATAGTGAAAAGACTAAAATGCACTTCAAAGTTTCAATTTTTGTTTTTTATAAATTTAAAAATTTCTAAAAAACTCCCTAGGTTTGCTAATTTAATTAAACACCCCCATATATAAAAAGTTTGTTAAATGATAAAAACACCCCCACCACTCGCAGTGCCAGATTCCGGCCACCGTCGTCGGAATCTAGTCGAAAAATTGCGTTATGACACAGACCCGTCGGATCTGTGTCGTAACGTGTTGATCTGGCCTTTTCTGGCCAAATCCGTGGCTGATCTGGCCGGAAAAGGCCAGATCTACTACTAGATTTGGCCGTCGAGGCCGCAAAACTCCATCTGCGGAATCGACGGCCAGATCTGGCCGTAGATCTGACATTTTCCGGTCAGATCAGCCACGGATCTGGCCGAAAAAGGCCAGATCGGTGCGTTATGACACAGATCCAATGGGTCTATGTCGTAACGCAATTTTTCGGCCAGATTTCGGCGGTGGTGACCAAAATCTGGCACTGCGGGTGGTGGGGGTGTTTTTGTTATTTTATAAAATTTTTATATATTGGGGTATTTAGTTAAATTAGCAAACCTAGGGGGTTTTTTAGATATTTTTAAATTTATAAAAATCTAAAATATCAAACTGTCAAGGGCAATCTAGTCTTTTCACTATTATCAAATGAAAACCACTAACAGAACATGACGGAAGGTACCTATTTATCGTTTTAAAACCTTTTAGGTATCAACTTGTCGTTTCAGTAAACCTTAGGTACGTGTAAATTCGTTCTCCCTTAATTAAAATGTCAATGTAAGGACAGACATTTTTGTCAATTTCATTGTCTGCTGACCAAATTATTGTACCTTAGGCTAAAAAAGTTTAAATGAAGATGACCAAGATGTCATGTATAAAAATAAAACTTCTGTCAAAAGATTTATCTAAAATAAATCTATTATATATTTAATCTAGTTTTTTCATATTTATCTTGTGAGATTGTTTTGTATTAAACTCATCTGCATGTTTAAAAAGTATTAAATAACCTCAAGACTGAGAGCGATGATGGACCTACATTGTCATGGGTGGGGTGGTTACCCCACTTAATTAATTAATTTATTTATTTTTTTTACTAATTTGCTGTAGTTTTTTTACTTTGATCATGTTGTCTTTCTATCAATATTTATAGATTTAACGTCACTCATTTACTTTTTTCATATATTTATGCGGTCAATCCCTAAAGCGTTGATTCACAACATGAATCATTCTTTTTAGGTTAATTTTATCTATAAGTTTGTTATTGTTACAATATATAAGCTAATTTTTCATCTATATTTATGTGTATAGAAACACAAAAAAAAAAAAAAAAAAAAAAAAAAAAAAAAAAAAAAAAAAAAAAAAAAAAAAAAAAAAAACAAAAATAGTAGACGTAGAATTTAAACTTAGCATATGAACCACTTTAAAAATCTTTTATTGCTTTTTCTTTTATTGCGTTCATTGATCATGCATCATATCACGGATTTCATACAACTCTTGCGTAAATTTCACCAAGGAATCTACGTATTTATCGTTTGTGCAAATCACAGCATCAATAGTATTATATTATTTTAAATTTTCCCTCTCTAAAATTAATTCCTAGATCCGTTCCTAACAGGGGTTTTTTTGATAATTTGAAAGTGAGAGTTTTCTTGCTAATATTATAAAAGTTTTAGGAAAAAATGGTTTTGCTTCATGTGCAAAAAAAACTTCTCAAATCCTAAAAGAAACAGATGTCAACATATGGCTTAATTAAGTAAAATCTTAAGGAAGAGTAGTAAGATTGATGTAAGGGTCACCATAATTCCCAAATTATGGGGGTGTTTAAAATGATAGCGAAATTAAACCATATAAGAAAGAGATTATGTAAAAATAGCAACAGAAATATAAAAGAAAGTGAGATTTCAATTAATTTAACTTTGGAAGGTTATGTGTTATATATTGAAGAGTAAGGTATAATGTTGAAATTAATTTAGGGATTATCTAAATTTTGAGTAACAATTTAATATAATGTTTATAAATATGACAGCCCTTTAAATAGAAGTTCGGGCTTATATACTTGCTCATTGGTAAAAGGCTTGGGCCCAAGCCCATATATACATTCGACTGATTTATACAAATTTTTTTTTTCATATAAATGCAATAATATAAAAGGAGATATAAATGAATAATGATATTATAATCACATAATAATGATATATTGATTTTTATATAAGAACATTTATTCAGATAATTTTTATGTGCAACTAAGGATTATTTTCATATTCCTCTCGAGACCATTTATTTTGAGGGTTTCTAAGATTTTCTAGAATAACTCTTTTAAGAGTATTAGAAACCTCGATGTAAAAATATCAATAAACCTTATAATAAGAGATTTTGGATGGTCTTAAAAAAGAATGGATACTTTAAATGAAATGATCCTATTATAGGATAACATAAATTAACCCATAAACAAATACACAAATTAATTTAAATTTAAATTTACTTTTAATTTTTTAAATCTACCAATATAAAGTTTTGAAGTAAAAGCGTAAGAAAAAGAAGAAGATTTTCTATAACAATTATATCTTTGCTTAAAATTGAAGATGGGGTTAAAGATGAAAATAGTAGAGGGTGATTTCCCAATGTAAATCATAATTTGAAATTTTAACAAACAGGTCAGGATTGGTAATGGGCCTGGCCCAAGGGACTCTCAGCCCAAGCCCACAAAATTATAAATCATACTGAGTGAGGATAATTATTTTGTTTACAATCCATTTACCTATGCAAACATTTTCAGATATGTATAACAACAGTCGAACAACAATTCTCCATCCATCTTTTGCATGAGAAAATATATAAAGATAATTAATTATATATGAGCAGCAGAAAGATGAATGTACATGTAAACTGTTAACGTTTTCCATTATTTTTCTTTTGAAAATAGTGGTTAGCAGAAGGATGAATGTAAATTTAATTTTATCAAGTCGTAAGTAATCATTTTATGAGCCACATATCAAAATAAATGAAATTATTAGGCACGTAATTTCAACCTACACAAAAACATATAGCCTACAAGAGTGAGCCATAAGGTAACACTCACATAATTTCCTTCAGAATAGAGATGTCCTCTGAAATTCAGAATTATTTAAAAAACTTAATTAGAAGAACCTTTCAGTCACATCCACTTCAACCAAAGATTCCACCATCCATGTCAGTTTCAGGAACGACCGGCTAAGAGCTCAGCATGAAGGCGGCTGTGATTCATTACATATACATAAATAAATAAATAAAAAATTTTAAACTATCTTGAAATATTTGATTATGTTAATTATTAAAAATATAAAAAGACTTCTGAAAGCAAGGAATTTATATGCTTACTTGTTCATTACCCTTCAAGGTGATCAAGAGAATTCTGAGTTTTTCTGCCTTTTGGGTTGTGGTTCCTCATCGATTCCACTAGTTTCTGCTCCATCATATTCAACAAGGCTTCGCTTAGTTGCAGCAGCATCCATTTCTGATGTAACAAAATCTTGGTGAAATTCAATCAAATTATTCCCAGAAATAGAGCTACTGCATTGTTCTGTTGGACAGTCAAACTCGACCAATTCTTCTTCATATATCGGATAGGCCGCACACCTGCTCACAGTCATTGCTAGGCACTTTGATGTGTCAAATTGAAACTTATAAAAATATATATGCGGCTCAATAGGTAAGGAGCAGAATGGAATACAGATTAGCCAAAGATGGTCTGTAACAGTACCCTGGATCAAACTATCTTCAGGTATAAATCCATAGAGAAATGATTTTTCCTTCCTTTATTGCCTTGAAAACGAATGAAACCATTATTATTGAGGGCAGGAAAATGCTTCCGGGTAAAAAGAACAGCGGTGACAAAGAATCCCTTCAACTTCATGTCTGGAAGACATTTTTTTCTTATTGAAGAACCCTCACTCTGATGGCTGAACCACTTCGGAACTTCACTTCCAGGAATAAAAATCATGGTAAAAAAAGCACTTGGATGGGGCATTTCCTGTAACAAATAAAAATAGAAGATAGATAAAATCGTACATTGAATATCTTTAACGCAAGAGAAAGAGAGAGAGAAAAAAAAGGGGGAAAAGGAAAAGAGGGAGACCTTTGGTGTTGATGCCACACTGGCTTTGCAGTCACTCAATTTCAAGCAATTCACACAAGAAATGCGTTGTAAACGATATGGTGTTATGCATAATGCATTTGGTAATCTTTCTAGTGAAGTACAATGATCTACAACAAGCCGATTTAAATTGGGTGGAAGTTCTGGTAATGATTGAAGCCTATGACAATTATCCAAATAAAGTTCCGTAAGCTTACGAAGACGATTGATACTGCTAGGAAGTGACACAAAATTGTTCTTTCCTAGATGTAGATATTGCAATGAAACTAAGTTGCCAACTTCACTGGGGATTGCTCCTAGATTGCAGTCACTGAGATCTAAAGCTGTCAATGAAGGCAAACCTAACAGTGAAGGCAACTTCAAAGTGATGATGGGATCTGATCTTCTACCTGACATCAAATTGAATGGGAAAGGCCAATACCATGGGCTTGATGGCTGTCCTTTGCATCCACGAAAAGATAATTTCTTAAGATTGTTCATGAAAAAAATGGAGGACGTTGGTCGCCTTACAGCAGTTCCACTTAGGTCAAGCCTCTCCAAATTTTCTACTTGTCCCAGACTCTCTGGCACATTTTCAAGTTTGGAGCAACCAGAGATTGATAGAGTTTTGAGAGATTTCAAACCATTTATATTAGTTGGAAGAGTCACAAGATTCTTGCAGTCTTCCATACTCAACAAAACAATTCCCTTTAGATGTTCAACTGGGAATGGTAATTCTTTAATCGGAGTTCTGTCTAAACAAAGCTCCACTAGAGATTCCATACTTCGTATAATCTGTGGAAACGTCTTCAACTTCAAGCAACCAGAAAGTACAAGTATTTTCAGAGCTTCCATATTAATATTTCTTGGAAGAGTTGTAAGACTTGTACAATCTTTGAGATTCAACGAAATAAGCNCTCATCACATAACTCCAATACGAATAATTCTTGTCATCTAACCTCACACTTATAGACTGAAACGAATCGTCTGTTTCAATAGCCATATTCAAACAACAAAGAAAACCAGAATGCAAGAGAAAGGAAAACGAAATACCAGATTGCCGAAATTGAACGAATACCAACAAAATACTAAATTGCCGAAATTGAACGAATACCAACGAAATATCAGATTGCAGCAACTAAACGAATACCCTCTCCAAAAATTTTGCTCAAGCTATGTTTAAGATTAAGCCTCGTCCCATGAAATTTTGCTCTGATACCATGTTAAACAATCCAAAGAAATAATAATAAAAAAGAGGAGGCTAGGGTTTCATTGATACTGCACAATTCAATTGAATACAAAAAGTATGATTTAACCTAAATACAAAAATATATATAGGCTAAACAAAGGAAATAATGAAAAGATAGATCTACCCTTAATAAACAATAAAACAAAATAACCCATATTTCTTAACAACTAAAGGGTTGTTGAAAGGAAAAGAAGAGCCAAAAAAACAAAAAAAAGAAATTGTTACTTTTCCAAATTTAGCTAAAGGCTGAATGTAAAAGCACATTTTCTATTATTATACATTAAAAACTAAATACAACTATGTATGTGACTAAACTAATCTTACCTTTGTTTCTTTCCACAGCTGTGAGATGTGGCTATATGGCAATTTAAGCTCGACAATTTTATCCAACTGCAAAATCGACGGCAAAGTTTGCAAAGGGTATCCAAACCATTCAAGTAACCTTAAGTTGTTGGAAAGGTATTCAAGGCCTTCAGGAAGTTGCACTTTACAGATCCTCAACAATCTTAGGTTACTCATATTTGAAAAGGCTTTGGCACCTACAGTAAAATACTCCACCTCTTTTTCTAGTATTATGCCTTCAATTACTTCAGTATCCTGAAAGATGAAAGCAAATTTATTTGTCAAGACAAAGCTTTAATTGGTTAACGGATTGGAATGATGATGAGAAACTTGTTTCCTGTTGAATCACGTACTGTGTTTCTTGTCAACACATCATGAACATCTGCTTCTTTCCATAATTTGCTACATTTTTCAGGATTTTCTGGGGAATCTCTCTTAACAATTCTTTGACTCATTTCTTGTAATAAGTCATGCATCCACAATATGTTCTTATCGGAAATAGTTATAAGAGATTTATTAACAAGAACAGCTATTCCAATGGTTGGATTGAAACTACAGCGGTCTAATATTCTTGTTACATGATATTTATCTCCCCCTTTAAAGAAGCGTACAATATCTAGAAATATTTTCTTCTGTGTTTCCTTTAGTCCATCAAAACTTATTTGGAGATTATTAAAAATCCCATTTTCATATTCTCTTCCTAGCCTTTGCAATGCACTTTCCCATTCATCAATAGTTACCAAATAAAAATGAGCCTGGAACTTCAAGAGCTAATGGAAGACACAAGTATACTTTACAAAAGTTTTGGACAACTCCACATATTGTTTCAAAGGGTGATTGTTTTTGAAGGCTTTCAAACTAAAAAGTTAAAGAGCTTCATCATCACCTAGTTCCTCTACCTTGTACATAATATCCACTCCATGTGTGATCAGCAATTGCTTATCTCTCAACGTTATTATGATCCTACTACCTGAACCAAACCAATTATGCTTTCCGGTTAATTCAGTTAATTACTTTATATCATCTACATCATCTATAACAATGAGAACCTTTTTTTGCCAAAACCTACTTCTTATCATTTCAATTCCGTCATACACTTTCCATATATTAATATTCATTTGCCCCAGGATTTGAGACAGAAGCTGGTTTTGTAAATGTGCCACACCCCTTTTTCTTGAAGTTTCTCTAACATTGGCAAGAAAACTACTACCATCGAATTCAGAAGAAATCAAGTCATAAATATCTCTTGCAATTGTAGTTTTTCCTATTCCTTCCATTCCATAAATTCCTATCATACAAACATCATCAGACTTTGTACCCATTAGGGCCCTTCGCAGCTTCTCCAAACGTGAACATATTCCTACTAGACCTTCCAGAGTCCTAGACGCAGTAGGACCTAATTTTCTTGATATGTCTTTAACAATATCTTGAATGAATTCTGACTCATGCCTACAAGTTAAAAAAGAATATAAAAATATGGTCATCTATTACAAGTTCACAAAGATGCAAATAAATAAATAATGACATATAGATTTAATATTTCTTTTAAATTAGCGAGCTAAAATATTTTTCCTATATAGTGAGGATGACCTTTATTAAATAAACCTTAACAGTTTTTTTAATATGAAATTTACTAATCTTGACATGAAAGAGGACTTTGTTCTCTCAAACTTATTATACACATGGTCAATCTTGAGAACAAAGAACGTATTACAAAGAAGTAAAAGTTACCGATCCTTTAAAGCCCATCCTGCGAGATTGGCCACCTCTGTCAAAACAATCCTCCATTTTTGTATCTTGTCTGCTTTACCCTTAAACGTTCCTTCATGTTTAGCAAAAGCTTCCTCAAAATTTTCTGTTTGTTTTCTCACAACAGATGGATCCACATTATAGAAAATTGGAATAATCTTATGTTTCATTGTCTTTGTGCAGTGAACAATCTTTAAAAGTTCATTCAAGCACCAAGTGGAAGAAGCATAGTTTCTTGATAATATAATAATCGATATTCTTGATTCTTCAATTGCCTTAGAGAGTTCTGGGGAAATGGAATTTCCCTTTTCAAGTTCTTTATCATCTTTAAATACATTAATTCCACTTTTTATTAAAGCAGCATATAGATGATCTGTGAAGTTCCTTTGAGTATCATTACCTCTAAAGCTTAGGAAGACATCATATTTCCACTTAGAGAAAGAAGTAAAAATATGCGAAGAGGCTCTTTGGATGCTCATGGAATCTATTTCCGCAAATGTATACCTTTTCCTGAAAAAGTGGAAAACTTAAGCAATCAATCACTTTTCGTTTGGGAAAAATTAATGGACCTTAATTGTAAAGTTTGAGCTAAGTACACTTAGGTTTTGTATCCATGAGGATTCTGAAGTACAATTTCATGAGGATTCTGAAGATGGTTTTTGGGTTAGAGAGTCAAGAGCTCTCAGTATTTCTCCTCTATAATCTGTCGATGTGATGCCAAGTAAAGTAAACAATTTTTATAGGTTTACTAAAATAAAAAATTAATCTTAGTATTGATGGGTTTTAAAAATTGATCGCTAAAAATAAAAAATACAGTTAGTTGTATGAATAAATAATAAAGACTAGAAGAGGCTTGGTTGACGTTTTGGAGTCCGAATTCCTTGCCTAATCTGAATATGGAAAGGGTTGTCTCGACTGCTTGTGCCTTGTTAATAACGCAGAGAGGAAATGACATTTTCACCCTTCAACATAAGTTTCACACCGCTCAAAGGAGGATTTTAATTTAGGTACAATTAGGATGAGACACGGCCGGTAACTCGCGAGCTACTCGACTCGACTCTCATAAGCTCGAGTTTGACTCGAAACTAGTCAAGTTGAGCTCGGCTCGAGCAGCTCATGAACAGTACAGCCGAGTTCGATCCGAGTTGAGCTCGCTAGTCGAGCTCGCGAGCTTAAACGAGCTTTGGGGGCCATTTTGTAAGATTTTAAAAGTTTTTTTTTAAGTTGTCAACATTACAAACACACCCATGACCCATTCCCAGACAAACAATAAACCCATTTCAAAGCTCAAACACTCAAAACCCAATTGGATTTTTTTCTTTCGGCTTCAAAAATCCAACTTCATTCATCTTTTCTTTCACCTTCATTCACCTTGGTTCCATTTAAGCTTGAAATGTGAAAGAAAAATATGAAGGAGAAAATCTGAAGGAGCAGAAGAAGAAAGAAAAGAGGAGTGAGAATAGGGAAGAGAATAGAAGAAGTAAAGAAAGAGAAGAGAATGGGGAGAAAGAAAAGAAAAAAAGACAAGAGAAGATTTGAAGAAGTAAGAAAGAGAAGGGAATAAGCAGAAAAGAAGAGACAAGAAGAAGAAGAAAAAAAAACGATGAGTTGACAAAATGAGTGAATAAAGAAGAAAGAGAAAAGAAGAAGAGAAAAAAAAAAAAAAGAGGTGATAGCCTGTGAAAACGAAAGAGAAAATAAGGGAGAAGAAATATATATTTTAGTGTTGACTCTCGATGGAGCTCGATCAGGCTCGAGCTCGTTTAAGCTCGATTAAGCAGCTCGAGCTCGAGTACACTTTCACAGTACCGAGCTCGAACTCGAACACGAATACTAAAGCTCGATAGCTCGATCGCTCAAGGTTGGTACTGTTCATCACAAGCTGAGCTCGAGTATCAAGATACTTGACTCGGCTCGGCTCGTATACATCCCTGTACAATGTTCTATATAAATGTAAGAAAAGGGACGCAAGTTTAAAATCCTTCAATTTCAATAGTGTGTAGTGTTACATTTAATCAATAGGGGTAATAAGTAATTTTGCAATATAAGTTAAAAAACAAAAATATAATAACTAAAAAATATCTATTCTGTGAAATGCTAACACATAACATTTCAACTTAAAATTTTAAATATCATAAAATAAAAAATAAAAATTTAATATAAAGTTTTTGGATTTTATTATTTTTTTTTTTTTAAAACTAGAATTCAAACCCTTTCTATTTTATTTCATTGTTTTATTTTTATTTAGAATTACAGGGGTTTTGAAAACTTTACATTTGTCGTTAAAGTTAACACCAATTCACTATTTCTTTTTAACAATTCAATAAATCTTTACACCTAAATAGTAAATTGTATCTCTCCTCAACTTAATATCATTTCAAAACTTGTAATTATCATTTATAAACCAAACCTTATCAAAAAATTTATAACCAAACAATTTCATAAAAATTACAATAACAACCTAAGCGTTAATTCATTAACCTAAACACACTGAAGTGAGGACTTTTTTTTTTTTATAATTAGTGAAAGTTCAAATTTTGCCGGCAAAAAACCAAAGAAGTGAGGTCAACCGTCCAACGCAAAACCTCTCTTGTGCATTAGGTTTGTTCTCCTCATATTTCCCAAAACACCGCTGCTTTTTCTTAGTTTACATCTCCCTCCACACTCCAACCAAAGGTTTCCCATTAGCTTCTTCAGCTAAACCTGAACATCATGAAGTTCGTCGTCAAGCATGGAGCAACGGCAAAGCCCGTACGGGCTACTCCACGTGAGCAACTGTCCCAACTCCATCGAAACGCCATCGCTTCTCCTCTCCACACGCAAAGGCCTCCCGCTCTTTATCTCGCCTGACCTCCTTCCCTCTCTTCCTTCTCCTGATTCTCATCTTTTGCAGTTTAGCCCCCTTCATTTGTGAGTATTTACTTCGATACCCTCTTGTTCTTTTTGCGAGAAGAGTGCGCATTTGTTGTTTGTGGGTGTCTTCTGGCATATATTTTTTCGGATTTTTTGAGGAAATGTGCATTTGTGCTTGAATTTATATGCGTATAACGTGTTTGTGTTTTGGCTTGTGAGAAGTTTGTTTCTGAGAAATGATGTGGTTAACTTTTTTTGACAAGAATTGTGTTGTGGATTGGTAGTCAAAGATAAGACATTGGTAAGCTTTTGAAGTTAATGTGTGAAGAATGAGTCTCGTAGGTGTTTGAATTTATATGCGTATAACGTCTTTTGTTTCGGCTTGTGAGAATTTTGCTGCTTACAAACGATGTGGTTAGCTTGTTGGACAAGAATTATGATGTGGACTGGCTGTTAAAGATGACACAGTGGGAAGCTTTTGAGGTTCATCTGTGAAGAATGAGTCCCACAAGACAAGATTGAACGAGCGAAGCAGTGTTTTGCCGGGTTCATTAGTTATTAGTTAAAGCATTTGGGTTGTTAAGTTTGTGTTCTGTGTTATATATATCAGGAATGTTTGTTGGACAGCTTATTAAAAAGAAATGTGAAATTAGGTAGGTTAGGTGATTTTTTGCTTGCTAGAATTTAATTGATTCTTTGCATTTGAGTTGAAAAAAATGGAGAGGCACGTAGCTGTGCAACTACAAATAATCTGATTAACTTGTTGGATACGTATTAAGTTGTGGATTGACAATCAAAGATAGGTATGTGGGAAGCTTTGGAGGTTCTTGGGTGAGGGTTGAGTCCCACTTCAGGAGAAGAGTGAACAAGTGGATTGTTTGTATTCACTATTTTGGCGTGTTAGTAACTTATTAGCTAAGCTTTTGGTTTAAGATGGTGTTTGGTATATTTTAAAAACTATGAATTTAGGTGCTATGTAGTGGCTAAATGATTTTGTGAGGATGGACTGCTTGCTAGATAGTGGGTACTTGGGAAAAATTCTCGCCAAGGTGTAACATGAAAGCTAAGTAGCTAGTAGGTGAAATATGTCTCCTTGTTTCAATGGTTTGGTAATGGTTTCTAGAGGAATGCATATTCTTCTAGTGTGAGAGATTTTAAGTTTTTGCATTTATAGACTTTGGTGTGAAAGGGGTTGACTGTTGACGTTTACGTGTGAGGTTTGAGTCGTGCATATAGAACAATAATGAACCATAATGTACTTAATTGACTTGTAATGCATTTACTTAAATTAGATTGTGGTATCAACATATATGTCAACCTCCTGCATTGGGTGAGCTCAGGGCAATGTTTTTGGTGCTCGTCTCCTCAATAGGATTCTTCTAATGCTTAGGGTGATTAAGCATGCATTAGAGTTTTCGGCCCGAAGTTTCTTTTTATCTCCCTTGTTTCTTCAATAAGAAGCTTATTTCTTATTGTTTCTTTGTTCTCATTATCAGCACTTCATTCATGTGAAGTTAATTTCCATCACCATCAACTTACTCTTACTGTAATATATATATATTTTTTTTTAACTGAGGGGGTCAATGTTTTCCACAGAGAGAGAGAAGGGGTGCGGGGGGGTTTTAGTTACCATTTCACTGACCTGTGTGATACCCTGTAATCTGTAGCTTGGAAGGTCCTTCCCCAAAAACAATATCAACTATTGGAGGACTCCACCAGATGCTTGGTTTGCATGAATATGGATATGCAGCTGTGCCAAGGGATTCTATTCAATGCCTTCCAGAATGTAGTAGCACTAATAAAATGGGAGCATCTTTTGAGACACCTTGCGGTCGTAGTTTGGTAGATTATCTCTTTCTCTTGGTCTCTATTCCTTTCTAACCTTAAGATTACATTTCTAAATATTTCTAATGCATATATGATTTCAGATTAAACCTGTAGAGTACATAGAAATGATTTCTTCCATGAGGCCAAACTTATGGACCACTTTGGCTGATGAAGTACCTGCATGGGTATCTGATAAGAGGAATAAAACATCAGTGGACAGAACTGTGAAATGGCTTGATGAATGCATTGCAAAGAGTCCGGTAAACGTTGTACATATTTTTACCTTCTGGCATTAATAAATATTCATATTTGACACCTATGTTTATGATTCAATGATGGGCATTTTATGTTGGTTTTTCTTTGCTTTTCTTTCTTTCTTTTATTTTATTTTATTTTGCTTGAACAACTTAATTCACTATTCTTGATGCATTGTTTTAACTTTTAACTTCATCGTAGATTTTGGTGTGTCAATGATTCATTGATGGGGGTGTATAGTAACTTAAAAAAGTTTAGGCAGGTGGAGCTGTTTTTGGGTCCATTGTTGGTGGGTCCAATATTGAAGAACGGCAGCGATGTGCCCAAGAGGTGGCCGTGAGAAATGTCTCAGGTATTTGCATGAATGAGATCCTTTATATTGTTCACAAACCAGCAAATTTGAGGGACGGATATTTTATTGCAGGTTATTGGATTGGAGGCTTTGGGCTTGGAGAGAGCATGGATGAGCGTCCTCCTCTCCTAAATACTGTCACTGTAAGTCTCACTTCCCATAATATGGAAGCTTTAAGTCTTCCTTACCCTTGAAAAGGGCCATTAGTTTCATTGTTTATATGTTGCATGGTTAATATGTTGTTGAATGAAAATTATTGTGCTTTGTTTGAATAAGTGATAACATAACTTGGTTACAAGTCAGTCAACAAATCATCAGCCAACTCTTTGGACTAAGCATGTATGTGGTGATTGCTGTTTAGCCTGCTATGATGTCACAACAAAAACGTTTTTTTTCAAATATTGTAAGCTCATCTAATATAGGAATGCAATCATTTTTAATACCTCTCTCAAAGGGAGAACAAAAAGCTTCATGTTTATTAATAAACAGCTGTTGAATTTTCCATAAAGTTTCATAGCAGTACATGCTGCATGTTAAGAGACGAAACAAATCAATCATCTTTAATTTAAACAACATCTGTGTTTGTCAAAATATTTTATTTATTTGTTATTAGCTGCTGGACATATAATATGGAATTTTTTTTTTCATTCTAATTAGTCAACATTAAAAAATGTTTTCATAATACAAGGTTAGAAGGAACCATAGAAAGGTTAATTTTTTTTTTCCTGCAGTATGTATAGCAAGCACAAAACGGTTTCTTGGAACTCACAGTAAAAATACAGGTTTTTTAATATAGTTTGATTGTGACCGACCTTTAAACTTGTTGATTACACTTATGGAATTGTGCACTCTTAAGTATGGAAGCCTTTAAGAACAGGGTTGTTGTACTAGTAATTTAGAGTATAAAAAAGGTTGTGCAAGTGATAGAAACCAAGGGCAAAAACTATGGTAGCAGAACAAAGCAGTAGAGACAGAGCAGAAGTGTAGAAGAAATCAGTCTTGGGATGATAAGAGTTTCTCATGTCAATGCTCTAGTTATGGTGCAAAAATTAGAACATATCACCATTAACTGTGAAAAAGTTATCTCCCCTTTTTCCGATCATTGATAACAGCCTAACTAAGCTATGTTTCCTTAGGTTGTTATAATATCTTGTTTACTTGTACAGAGTCACCTTTTTTTTCTTTTGCTGTATCAATAGAGTTCCTTGATAATTTTTCTGCTCCTAATCTCAGGATAAATTACCAGAGGGAAGGCCACGCCTTATTTCTGGCCTTGGACTACCAGGTATATAGTTTACCGTTTATTTTGTTCTTGGTAATTTCCCTTTAATTAGCACAGAATTCTTGACTATCAAGGTTTCATGGTTTGACCTTGGTCCCTCTTTAGAACTTGATGAATTTGTTAGAAAAGCCAGATATTTATATGTATCATAAAAAATAAAAAGTTAATCTCACTTAGTTTAATTGTAAAACTTTGCCACAACTGGCACACATGAATGCAGAATTTTACTGAAGGGCAGGTTCATAGTTGTAGTATTTGGACGCTCCTTTTTTTCACAGAACTTTAGATTCCCAATGAAAACGATCTGTTTGCTAATATTTGGATAAGATCAAGAATTTCTTCTGCAGAGAGAACAAACGGAAGAAAATACTCTTGCTGTTTGATGTAAAATAAAAAGCTTCATAAAGTATGATCAAATTTCACCGACTGGATATCTGTGGGAAAAATGTAAATATTGATTCATTTGAATTTTGATCACATGTATTTTTTTATCTTTGATGTCTTTTGAATTCAAATCAAATAAATCATTTTTTTCAAGGAAAAATTATGTGAATTTCGTCCAGTGCTCTTACAAATGACCAAATAAACGAGACCTAAAAATAGATTGACAATGAAGACAAAGATTTTTAATCTTCAACAATAAGGCAACAAAGAGTTCATTTACTCATGATTTAAAAGTTGTCTTCTTACAGAGGAGATATTGCAGGGTGTTGCCGCCGGAGTGGACCTTTTTGACTCTGTGTATGTAGTTTGTCACACCATATATCCTTTTCTGAGCTTTTCTGCCCTTGTGGGGAATATCTTACTAAAAGTCTATGCATCTAATTATTGTTTCGCAGTTATATATACCATCTTACATTAGGAGGCTTTGCACTTATCTTCCCACTGAATATAATGGAGAAAAATCTGTATGATTTTCAGTCAACTGATCAAGGAAGTGACGGGACAAAGATTAATCTAAAGGCAACATTGTACAGGTGAATGATTTGATCTCTTCTTGGTGTCAATGATCTTGATTTTGATTAATGTCTTGATCTGTGTTCTATATTTTATGTTTCTGGATTTAGTAGACTCCTTTTCCTTGTTAACATGTCTTTTCTTGAATTTGTTGTTCTTTTAGAAAGTATTTACTTCTTCCGTTTACTTTCATTCAAATTTAAAATTTTTATTTTCATCTTTAACTACTTTGAAAGTTCTGATTAGATATGAGCACAACAGAAATATTACTTCTGTAACAATGTTTGATTATCCAATTAAATTAGTTACCAGCCCTTAATATGGAATATTTGTTCTGCAGAAAGTTAATTTTTTATTATTGAGGTTTGAAATTCTGTGGTTTTGAGATGTCATCATGTCAGTGATTCTATGGGATGGAACAGTACTGAGGCATGTGACTCTATTAAGTTTTTATAAACTGAATTCATATTTACTCTATTCGTCCATTGTATAATTCACCTTTTTAATGAAGCCAATGAAACACCTGCTTACAACATATTAAATTGATGTACTGTTAATTATTATGATTTTGTGGAATCTAGCCGTGAATTTAGTTATAGCATTGTTATTCGTGTTTTATGATCTTTTCTTTTCCTTCAATACCTATTGAAGTTCACTGTAAAGTGGAAGTTGAATGTTAACAAATACATTTTGCATAAATATGTTTCTTCTTTTTAATCAAGTTAGTTTAAAGAACCTTGAATGTTTTTAGTTGATATATCTATTGTAACTACGTCCAATATCTGAATTTAGCAATCGTATCTCGTTAACAAGAACCTCATGGCTTCTGTTTATGATATTTTTCATTCCAGGAAAGATACAACTCCGATTGTAGAAGGTTGCAGCTGCTATACGTGTAAGAATCATACAAAAGCCTACATCAATCATCTTCTCAATGTGCATGAAATGTTGGCGCAGATTCTACTAGAAATGTACGAATTTCTTCACTCCCTAGTAGTTTTAAAGTTCAGTATTACAAATGGCGATAAATATGAAGAATTGAGAGTTTTTCTTTGATTTGCAGACATAATACTCATCACTATCTGGGCTTTTTCCGTTCAATAAGGGAAGCGATAAAGGAAGGCAAATTCGAACAATTCCAAAAGACGTTTGTTCGAAGTAGGCGTGATCATCTTGCTGCGAGTGTTGCAAGTGTATGATTATTCCTTCAAATACGGCAATGGTTTCAAATATAGCATTTTTGTTATCTGAGAGCCAAAGCGCAGAGATTAGTCCCCCAGTCAATTTGTTTTTTAATTTTGACAATTTATGTACTTTTAACCTATAGATTACTCGTACCGTCGCGCATTGCCATTTATTCTAACACAATTTTGAGAAAATATGATTGTTGGACTTCGAAATTTAACAAATTTAGGTTAAAATATATTTTTGGTCATTTAGGTTTTACTAGGGTCATCTAGGTTGAAATATATTTTCTTCACAGTTTGTTAATTTAATTTTTTTCGAGATTTTGTAAGCGATTATAATTGATATATAACACATTTTACTCGTGGGTGCACAAATTATATTAATGGATGTACATATAGTTATAGGGTTTGATTCACCCAAATATTTGAGATTAAATTAGTTTTTTTTTTTTTTTTTAATAGAAATTTTAAATTTTCATAATGGATTCTTATGAAATTTTAAGTGCAAATAATCCAATGCTTTTATAAAATTATTGGTTTTTTCTTATTTATTTAATTACATTTTGTTCAGGGTTTGATGCTTCTATCTTAATTTCTTGAACTGAGCCATCCACCAAAATGTACAAATGCAAAACAAACTGGACATACATTGCCATTCAGAAAAATAAAGGGCTCAATATATCACAATAATTTCTATTGCCATCATCCTGAAGATTTTGCTTTACAGGTTAAAGGCAGTAACAAATTTGAAGTCAGAAGTATTATACAGCCGACATCGAGTATGTCTGGAACAAATATGATAAGATATTCTTGTAGTCGCCGATTTGAGTACCGGTGTTTGGATCAATCAGGTAAGGTACCTGGAAAATACAACAAGATCTCCATTTAATGATTAAGGCTGAAGATAGATTGTGCAAGCATGCATTTCAGATTCCAAATATTGTCTATTGCCACGGGAAATGAAATATAAAATGCTTTGAGAAAGCATGCAACACCACATTTTATGGCAACAAAAGAAACTTATTTCACTAATATGTGGCAGAAAGATAATTTAAATGATGCTAAAATCTAACCTCTTTGGATCCAGACACATCAAGTAGTAACTTTGCTCTGGAAGAACCTTCTCCGATGTTTTGAAGAATATAAGGAAGCTCTAGTTCGCATAGTGCTTCACGCACAAGTCGTGCATACTGCACAGAAGGTAAAAGGAGGAAAATGGGAAACACAACATGCACAACATAAAGAATAAGAACCATGGGGGAATCATATGGTTGAATGGACACTCCTGCACTACCACTTCATGCATAGTTATATTAATCATGCGCAAATGAATTACTGCAATACAAAGGGTTTTCGTCTTGCCTCTTCCCTCAGATTTTTCATCGGAATTTCAGTAGGGCTTTAATTATTTTGTGAACACTAAAGTTTCAATTCCCTGATGTATTTAAGATGCAGATAACAAGAAACTAAAGAACAGATCAATTTAAAGATATAAGACGTTTGAAAATATAGTCCGTAACCAAAACAAGGGCCCTTATTTGGGACCTTAAGCTTCTTTTAATGTACAGCTTTGCTTTTTCAGTTTTCTTTACTTTTCAGGAATCAGAGGAAATTTGTTAATTTCTAGGAATGCTGTGAAGGGCTTAGAGAACAAATGAATACTTCTCTTTGTTTACAATACCTATTTACAGCTATCTTTAAGCGATATTTCCTAGTTAGGTCTTAATGTTCAGAATTTCTTATATCAAAGATCAAGTTCTTGCAAGGAGTAATGACACTTCTTTCTGAACACTTTATGATGCCATCCAAACTCAAGTACATAGCCGAAAGGACCTAGGTCTGAAGTTAATGAATTACGCCTAATTTCTAACTTTCTACTGTCTCCACTTTTCTATTAGTTTCAGAACCTTTATTCACTAATTATATTCTATTTGCATAAATATCTTCTTAGCCCCTTTGCCCTAAATAACAATAATTAGTAACATAAGATCCTAACTACAAGCTGCCATCTTGAGTTTCTAGTAACCATCTCTTTGTCTTTCAACAAACTTGCAGACATCAGAATAACACCTCTTTTACTCCTAATCAAGCTATGCAGAGACTTTGATCAACCATCAAATATCTATAGGGACCCCCATTAATTGATGTTACATTGCAACTAAAACACAGAGAGACTTGAACCCAAATAAAGTGTGTAAGAAAGTGATTACACCATATAGGGAAAGTAAAACCATTTGTTACTGGATGGTCCCATTTTTGGTAAGTCTCAGTAGAACGAATTTATTAAAAATAAAATTGAAGAGTATACTAGTCAGGGGAGGAATGATGCTTACCCATTATAAAAATTAAAACATAACAGGAAACAGAAATTACCGGATTGTTCTCATAAGAGAAAAGTTCCAACTTTTTGGGCGGCGGGTCTGCCCTCGCCTTTTCCCATAGTGTCATCCCTCTACCTGCTCGTAGAAGCGTTGGCATCCATCCAGTGATCAATGTGCTGCAGGATATATTGAAAGAGAGAGATAGTTGAGTTGAAGAAGAGCCAAACAAACTATAAAACCAATAATCAACCACACAACAAATATGGCCATCCTAAATGGCAAAATTATGCAAGAAAATTCTCATCCATGGCTCACTTTACTGATAATACATGATCTCCACCATAGAAGATATTTTTAGAGACAATTCTTGAGCTAAATTACCTTTCCAACAGTCCCACTGAGGGGCTTCTTCCTTTACCATATTGCTGAAATAGGTAGTTCACAATATCACCTATTAAGAAAAGGGTAAAAGGGAATTTTATACAAGATTGAAAGGTGATAAAACAAGGTTAAGAGAGCATCAAAAGAGGATAGAGCCCTAGAATATGACATTTCTGTTTTCATCAACACTCAAGAATATGCATGAAAGTTAAGGAAAATAAATACAAAAAAGAAATTGAAATTTTCAGTTTCATAATCAATGAATTCAGTTTAAACCACCAATGTTGATAACAATTTAGTCAATATAAGTTCTTTCACGTAAGATAATTGTGCAAATTCAAGCTCTACTTTGTCCACATCGTTATCTGCCCTTGCACCTAGGATTTCACCTACATTCTTACTACAACAAATTATGGTCATACTCGAAAGTCCAATAACCCAATAGTAAACTTAAATCACTATGTATCAAAGATTTGCTAGGCTAGGAACACTTAGAATTAACAACTGCTTTACTACGTTTTCTTTCAAGCCCATGCTCCAAGTCTTTCTCTCTAAAATGTCATCCAATTACATTTTGTTTCTGAAATGTAATTACCACTACATATTCAAAGTATGACTTAAAATATCCTTTCCTACAATACAAAAACTCAAGATATTATTGACAGTAAGAACACATACATGAATTTGAAAATGAACTTCATTACGTACCACTTTCATACATTGAAATACCAGTATTTGGATCGAACAGGAAAGGAAACCTGCAAGAAGATTTTTAAAATTGTGCATACTATACAGAGGAAGAGAAGTGATATGCAAGAAGACAGTGTTAAAAGTGCTAGTGATCTTTTCATGAATGCGTATTTGAAGTAGATCAAGGAAATAAAAATTACTAAAGCAGACAAGATAATCAATTTATGTTATTATTGAAAACCAAAATTTGGCATATAAGATAACCTCATATACATTATATCAGTTGATCATTTACCCCATGGTTTAAAATTTTCCTTGGGGCAATGCCAAAATAACTTTACCCAACTTAAGTGAGGGATAGCTTTAAAGATATAGTCTAAAGAACAGAATTACGTACAGCTCTTTCCCGCCAGATTTTTTTACCATTTCTCTATGTCTAACAGAACCTTTCGGACAAGGATAGACCTGCCCATACACCAAATTAGCTGACATCAGAAAAGTAAATGACTAATAAGCAGAAGAGAGATGAATTAAGTTATCAACAAGAACATATAAAACAAATAAAGCATAGTTATGTACCTACATAAAGATAAATGTTTGTTTATTTATTTAACGATGTAAACATACAGTTCTGACACCATTTTACAGTTCAGTAGACACAGTTCTATAGCGTAGCAGTACTGAATGATTTTTAGTCAACTAGAAGAAAGGTATTTACTATCAAAGGGCATCAATTGTGTGCTGGCTAAATCACTCGGCACTCAACTTAACCTTTTAATGGTTTAAGTAGGAATGAGAGGCTTAGTTGTTTATGGTGGTGTTTGTAGTACTTTAGCTGAAACATATTTACTATATAGGTGAGTGCCTTGCTTGTGAGGAAATCGTGCTAGGAAAGTAGGAAATCTCAGTTCTTGCTCTATGTTATTGGCCTTAATCTTCTTTTAAGATCTTGGGACAAATACTCTCCATTATGTTGATCTACTATTTTAGAAGTCTCGATGAATACTAGTTAGACGTACTAGGTCACAACTTCTCTTCTTAAATGAATCACTATTTTACTCTGCTAAGTTAATCAGTTGGTACTCACAAGAGTGTCTTAACAGGTCTGCATCAATTATCCTCTTAGTATCATTCAAGCTTGATCTATTAGGCCTCTTTGTTTCCTACCACAAGTACTGCTGGAAATCTTTTTGACAAGCATACAGAAAGGAAATTATTAAACCAAAATTCATTGCTAGAACATTAGTAAATTAAAAGAAATATAGGATTGCTGTTACATTTTCAGTCTCATTTCTTACCTCTACAGCAAGATCTAGCTCGGTCAAGGCCTCTCTAACCCTCCTACAAAAGGGGCAAGCCTCTGTTCATGAAATACATTAGTAACAACATTTAAGCCCAAAATCTATAATGGTTCAATACGCTTCAAATGATTTAAATCATATTGTAAAATATTCTCCATATTCATAGCTAGTAAAAAACAGATGTATTTTTTCCATCTCTTGTGTACAAGAAGAAGGAAAGAGGTAATGAGTACGGCTTATCTAATCAAATAGAAGCTTACCAAATTCATAAAGTTGTAAATGCAAAGGAGGATTTAAATTGTCGATCTCTTCGCTATGTGATCCCTTTGATAGTGATCTTGACCCCCATGGTAATCTGGCCAAGGTAGATAAAGAAGATGTTGCCGCCTACAAATTAGCAACAGAAATAGAGGCATCAGGATGACAGGATCTGCTAAATGGTAAAATTGTTCAGAAATTGAAGCCTCCTAGAACAATTGAATAAAGATACTGATAGGAACCCACTCTAATAACTCAATAATTTGGGTTGGGCCATAGGTTTTTCATGGGCTTGGGTAGAACTCTCCTTGGAAAACCGGCTTGCCAAGGGAGGGTGCTCAAGCCTTTATAACCCACATGCCCACCCTATTCCCTTTCAATATGGGATCCTAACAGATACATATGAACACATGTAAAGCAACCTTACCGCCCAGCTCTCCTGTGCAGACACAAACTAATTTTATTTAATGTTAAGAGACATTAAAGATCCTCAAACTTCTGTTGGTATTACCTTCTACCATATACAAACTATTGGAGCAAACACAAGGAAGCTCCTGAAAGAAATTACCTCCAATGTGTAATTTCGCTCACGAGAAGGATCCCCTCCCTGAAATAAAAAAGAAAAACTAGTGGAGCAAGGGAAAATAAGTACCAGAAGGTAATTATAAAGGGTTCTCATGTACATGTGAGTGTTTGAATAAAATAAATTTAATACAATTGCTAGGAACATGATAAAGCACAAGGGCTTCCTTTAAACAGTTGGAATTGCTTTGTCATAATCAATAAATAACACACATGATCTCTACAGTACAAACTAACATCAGACAGGGTAGGATAGCATCGACAACCTAACAGATCTACCATAGGCAAGATACTATCAGGAGCCATTCCAAGTGGTCACAACAATAAAATTCTAAACAGAACAATGAAAGCTAAATAAATCTATGCCAGTTGACACTCTAGTTCCTTGAATCAAATAACGTAGTACCCAGTACAATGTTTGACCCAAATAAAGAACCCAGAACATCGCGGAGAAAGCTTCTTGCAGTGATCCATGCTTGGTTGTGTTGTTTCATAATTTTTTCTAAGTATTTGGATCAGATAAAAAATTTAATAAGCATACTTTACTCATCCCATCTAACTCCAATTTTAGGCACAAACACAAGAAGTTCCATATTACTAATTTCATGGCCCGCATTGCACATTTTACACATTCATCTCTAACTGCCATGTCAAAGAAACAAAGACAGTCGCAATAAGGTTTACCTCTCAACATCGCCAGTTTAACCGTGGCCTACTATATGAGGCCTAGCTAATTGGATAGAGCAGTTTACAACATGGAGTGTCCCAGCCTCCTTATGGAACAAGAGACACCCCCTTAATCATCCAATCAGGGATTCTCGAGACTCAACACCCACCTAGCTCTCTTCAGTTGCATATTCCAAAGAATGAAGAACCACAACTTTAAATTTCCAGGGTAAAGTTATTTATTAAATTTCATCAAAAAGACATGCCACATCAATATCTTCTGCAGTTGGCTCTGTAACAAAGAGCTTAAAATAAAAAATTTCCTTGACAAGTAATTGATTGAAACAATAAATGAGTATACACTATACAGATTGACACATTTCTAACTGTTGCTAACATTTTAACTGATAAAATGCAAATGATACAATTACAAGTTAACAATAAATGAGTATATAGATTGAAACAATAAATATACAAAGAACAAGCTTCAGGAAAAAAAAGTTTCAACAACTACGAAAACTAAGAGTACCCTTGGGCTAAGAATTTTTTCAAGTAATTATAATCAACACATAAATAATAATAATAACACTTTTCATAAAGCACTTAATTAGTAAATAATATCCAAAAAAAAATACAATCAGCACCGAGTTTCTAATTACACCAACTATTAGAATTCTAAACTTTAGATTTTTACTTCACATATTTTCTTAATTGTTACCCAGAATCAATAAATTAAAGCTTGAAACTTCTGTTGAAAGTTCAATCACAGAAGTTTCTTTGTTCATCAAAAAGGTCTACCGAGAAAAAAAAGTAGAAAACTTACCGAGAAGAGCTTGAGCAAGGGGCAAAGAAAAGACAAGAAAGAAGATGAACTTGAAGCATTTAATTGGGGGGAGGTTTCTGTATCAGATTTTGCATGGAATCTGATTCTGCGAGCAACCCAGTTGGCGTTTCTGGGGAACGTGTGAAAAAATGAAGAGAAAGTGCGAGGTGGCCCCGGTGGGTTTGAGGAAGAGAAGAGAACAGATTGAGAACATGACACAGATATCAACGACATGGTTTCCGGTAGTATGACTGCCGAGTGATATTTTGCGCTTTTATGGATTCTTTAACTTGGAATGTCACTAACAAATCAAAGACTAGTGGCTTATAATTTTCGACCCCACATGTATTAACTGAAAATGTTCCTGTAAAATTATATTCTTTTAATTTTTTGCGAAATTATATAAAATGATACTGTTTTGGATAGGGAATCGTAAACTAACACTTTTATAAAACCTTTTCAACAAATAGCACAATCCAATATTACACAAATTTTAAGGACAAAAATGCCCTCATATATAAATAAACCCTAAACATTCACTCATCTTCTTCAAACCGATCCTAATCATTCCCTCCATTAAAGACTTTGAAAACTCAGCCTATAAACCAATTTTGCTATTTGATTTGGTCCCAAATTTCAGTCAATTTGACTTGTATTCAAAATTTTGTTGTATTGTATTAGATGTAGGGTTTTGATGGAGTTGTTGGTTTAGGATGTGAGATTGGGTTGATTCTTTTTTGATGGTGCGAATTTAGGTGGTTTTAATGGCTGTCGACGGTGCAAAATGATATAAGGGACCTACATGTTTTGGCTAACAGGAGGTATCGATCGAATTCGGTCGATTGGATAACCCAAGGTTGAAGATAGCAAAAAAGGGTCAAAACCAGCCAATAGGGGGGTATTAGACACTTTTCATACCTATGGCAAGGTATCTATAATTTTCACATAGGATAATATTATACTATCTGAACTGGCCGGGTGTCGGCCAAATAAAATTACAAATACCACCTATTGTCCAAAAAAGTGTCTGATACCCCCCTATTGGTCGGTTTCGACCAATATCGACCATTTTTCATTGTCTTCAACCTTAGGATGCCCAAATGGTTAAATTCGGCGAATAGGCAATCCTAGGTTTCATCGAAAACATAAAAATCCTTCAATTTTGAACATCCCTATCTAAAAATTAACCCAAACGACCAATATTAACCACCCATCTACATGAATATCCTTCGATTTATTAGGGATTGTAGTTATGAAAAATGTGTTAGATGGGTTTTTAAGGTCTAAAGAATGAGTTTTGGTTTAAGGCTGAAGAAAGAGTCCAGAGGGGTATTTTTGTTCGTAAAATGAAATTTTGCTGTATCGTGAGAGACTTTCCAAAAAGTGCTAGTTTTCAACTCATAACTCAAAATAGTGCTATTTATAGTTGCTCTATTTTTTATTTTTTAGTTTTATTTGATTGCCTTTTAAAAAATACCAAACACGTTTACTATAAAAAGAAAAACCTTTAAACTTATTTAAAATGTTTATATAAGCCTTTTAGGTTACATTATTTAAGCATTATCCTCTCATAAACTCCTAGTCATGGTCCAATGCCTGATTATATATAGAGTTCACTGTATTTAAAAACAGAACTCTTGTGTATTGATGCTAAAAACAAAATTTTTATATACTGAAGCATGCACACACACTTGAAAAATAATACTATTAAGCCATTTTTTAATTTATAATTTTAAGCAAGAGATTGGCCTTTTTAACTTGTCTCGGGTTTTACTAGAATTCGAAACCTCATTAAACTTGAGTCACTAACAAGCTGTCCAAAACACATGAAAGTTATGTGCTTTTGGAAATTGGAAACATTGAGAAGAAGAGAATTCAAAGTAAAAAAAAAAAAAACAATTTTCATGAAGGTTGTTGCCATTGCTACCAGAAAACCATTTTCATGAAGGTTATAAAAATTTATAAATTAATACTTTGATTTTATTACAAGAAAAATATATACACGAATCGCGAATTGCTAGCCAGCCGGTTGCTAAATGAATGTTGTAATTCTGTTTAGAGACCAGACCGGTACTTAGTCAAAGCAAGTTACAAATTATTCAGGGAGATATATATATACATACTCTGCATTAATTAACATTAGCTGGCTTCTAAACACAGATTGCTAGTTACCGGAGAGAGGTATCCAGATTTCTAGCTTCATTTCCTTGGTTGTTAGTGATCTTTGTGAAACTGTCAAGACAAAAGCAATCAAATAGGAAGTTCAGGCAGAAAAAATCCAGTATTATTCAATCATCAAAAGGACTCTTGATAGTTGATATCTCAGAATTCGACTTTACTGAAAAGATAATGAAGATGTTGATACCTTTTATGACCACATTGTTTAAATCAGGACCTATTGCTCAATTGTCTGCTTCTTCGAAGCAGTATTTCCCGTTTCTCTTCTGCATAAGTAAATAATTAGTCAGATTGTTGATGCTTGTGAGAAAAAAAAGCTGAGAGAAAGGTATGAAATGTAATGCCCATTACCTCAGATTTTTCTGTATCAATCTGAATATCAGGGATGTGAGCAAGTTGAGGCCAATTCGCGCTTGTTTCCTTTTGATTGGCTGCGAATGACAGTGGACATTTAGATATTTCCAGGCTTTGTAATGCTTTGAGGTAGCACATTGATTGAGGCAAAGATGTCAATCCTAGACAGTCTGAAATTTCAAGCCTCCGAAGAAGCGTGAGGTTGCCAATCCAATCTGGTAAACTCTTTAAACCAGGACAACTTCTAATCCATAAGTTTTTCAGAGATGTAGCTTGTTGAAGACCATCTGGGAGAGATACTAGTTTTGGCATATCACCGATTTTCAACGTGCAAAGACACTTTAGGCCTTGCAATTGCATGCCATCTTCATCTCCATTTGACAAGTCAAGCTCTCTGCATTCTTTGATTTCAAGTTCTTCAAGGGCGGCAAGATGTTTCAACCCTTTAGACAGTGACATTAGTTTTGCACAACCACTGATCGAAAGAAAGCGGAGAGAAGTTAATCCCCTCAATGCTTCTCCAGGTAAACATAATAGTTTAGGACAATTTGATACAGACAGATACTCAAGAAAAGTAAGGCTTTGCAGTCCCTTCAGTGGCAATGAAACTAAATCCATGACACTATCAATGGATAAATGTTTCAGTTTAGCAAGAGGTGAGCGAGAAGAAGAGAACGAAATGTTTGTTGCAGTTGTTGAGCTTTCTTCTGTTTCCGCTGCAATCATCATCAGCTTCTGTATTAATTTTTCACTTGTGTCCTTGAGCTCAAGTTCTTCCAGAATTGGATGCAATGGCAGGTATGCGAACTCAGGGCAGTGACCGACCACTAATTTTGAAAGACAAGGAAATGACGGCAGACTAGCCTCATCTACTGCTTCTTTCCACCATCCCTTCAAATTTCGCAAGTCAAAGAGCCTAAGTTCTTTTAGGGATGGGAAGAATGTTGCTGGTTCTTTTTTTTCCCGCATGTGAGGATCTCCGGTTTCTATGTACTCCACAGCAGTTACCTCTTCAAGTTTGAGAACCTTGAGCTTTGAAAGTTGACTAAACAACGGGAGCTCTAGGCACCTGTAACATCTCCATATGTTGATCTCAAGAAGATTTGGAAGCAACAATGACAAGTCAGAAATGATCCAATTCGGAAACCTTCCAGCCCTATAACCATAAATGTGAAACTCTTTAAGTTGTGGATGTGGTTGGAGGATTTCCAACAACTTTTCGTCTTCTTCGATGATCTTATGATCGTTAACTTCTCGTGTCCATTCCAATCTCAAGACCTGTAAGTGTTGCTTGCTCTTCAAGTTTGCTTCTCTGGATTCTGATGCAGCATTTTTCAAGTTTTCCAGTTTGGTTATTGCCAGCTCTCCTCTAAGATTGTTTAGGTACTTTAATTCCCTCAGGCTCCCGCTACTCGAAGAGGAGGAACTAGCCTTGCCGACCACAAATCTTGATAATGTATTCAGGGCAGTCAGTTGCCCCAGTCCAGATGGCATTTGTGTCAAACCAATACATTGATCGAGCTCAAGATGCCGAAGACTGGTCATTTTTCTCATATCTCTTGGCAGTTTCTCCAGCATTTTGCAGGACATGAGTTTCAAAGTTTGCAAATTCTGCAGCCTGGTGATGGAACTGGGGAGTCTCATAATACCTATATTCTTCGAGAGATCAAGATACCTCAAATGCTTTAACTTACCAATGCCAATTGGCACTTGGTCAACTCCAGTGTTATGCATATCTAGCGCCCGCAAGTACTTAAAACTCGAGATGATTTCATCATGAGTGGCTTTCTTCAGTATTGTGTAAGAAACCGGCTGCACAGGCAGAAGAAATGTTCGTAATCTGTGTGCTTCGAGCAACGAATTCGGAATTTTCCAAGATGAATCTACTACAGCATCGAATGATACATGCCGAATCCTTTCGGATACATTTCTTGCATCCAAATCCACCAAGGAACTCTCACTCCCGGCAACTGATTGCGCAAGGTCATGCATAAGGTCGTGCATTTTAAAGCTTATGACATTGCCCCATTGATCATACTCCACATCCTGAAAGAACGACCGCCTTAGTAACTCCATTAAATACTGATCGCCGATTTCCTCGAGATTTTGCGTTCTGTTTGATGACTGAATAAACCCTTGTGCCATCCAGAGATTCACCAGTGTCTGCTTATCGATTTCATGATCTTTTGGAAACAATGAACAATAAGCAAAACACTGCTTCAAATACGAAGGAAGTTGATCAAAACTGAGCTTCAGTATTGATAGCATATCATTTTTATCTTGACTTGTCTCTGAAAGTACATTGTTCTTGAAGTAGAGCCACTCAGATTCTGTATCTTTGGAATACAAAAGGCTTCCTATAGACCTTATGGCAAGGGGAACCCCTGCACATTTTGTTACAATCTCCTTCCCAATCGTGACTAGCTTCGAATTCTCTCGCTCTTGCCCTTGTTTAAATGCCATTTTCTTAAACAAACACCAAGATTCATCACTGGGCAGACCTTTAAGATCATAACTTTTTGCAATTGTTCCTGTAACGTCTGCAACCAATTGAGTGCGCGTGGTCAGAATTATCTTACTTCCCGGCGAACCACTCATTAATAGTTCCCGTAATTTCAGCCATTTGTCGCGATCTTCATTCCATACGTCATCTAAAACAAGTAAATATTTTCTCCTATCAATTTCCTTCCTAAGGTCAGCCTGCAAGCATTCCATCTCAAGATTATCATACTTAGCATGAGTTGCAGACTCCAAAATCTTCTGCACAATGATTTTCACATCAAAAACATTAGAAACACACACCCACATTCTTATCTCGAAATGCTTTTTAATCCTCTCATCGTTGTACACAACTTGAGCGAGCGTTGTCTTCCCTAGTCCCCCAATTCCGACTATCGGAACGACTGAAACATTCTCCCTAACATTGGAATCCAATAACAATCCCACAATCAAATTTCTATCCTCATCTCTACCAATAACTTCTTCTACACGCACAAAAGAGTGAGTTTGCTCTCTTTCCATTTTCTCAACCTGCATATTCTCAATTGGACGATCTATGAAATGATACTTGATCTTGTCAGCAGCTATATCATCTAATCTCTCCCTAATCTCCCTTATTTTATGACCCATTTTAAGACCATAAGCAACACGTTTAAGCTTTGAAAACAAAACCCTTACCTCTTTCATCTTCCTTTCTTGCTGCAGAATCATTCTCCTTCTCAGGACTTCAGTTGAGAAATCATCCAACAAATCATCGGCGTCGTAAATCGCAGCTTTAAGCTTTCCAAGCCAGTCTCTAACTTCATGGCTCTTTGCCTGCTGCTCCTCAGCATCTAAAACTACAGCTTTTATTGTAGAAACAGTGTTCTTCAGCCTTTCAATCTCTTCCTTTGCACTCCGTATCATGTCGATTTCTTGGAGAGCCAGTTTCCCAAGTTTTCCCAGGATTTCATCAGTAACATTAAACAAAACAGCTTCTGCCATTTCTTCTTTTTCTAAACTCACAAATTAATCCCAACCTCCTGCGACAAGAGTCTCAAGACCTTTTATTCAACGGTAACCATACAGGATTTGATCTCAAGACCTCTTATACAACTGTAACTAATTAGGATTCGATCTCAAGACCTCTTATATTATAAGACTCAATCTTAAGATCTTTTATAACTCCATCTCAAAGACCTATTGTCCAACTGTAACTACACAAGATATGATATCAAGATCTCTTGTACACCTGTAACAATATAGAATTCGATCTCAAAACCTCTTATACAACTGGAACTAACAGAATATGTAGTTCTTAGAGAGCTAACTTGTTAAAGGTTTGAGAAAAAAGGAAAGAGCAAAACAGGATTTAAAACTTTGCTTTCATTTTCATGGTGGACTTCATTTTCGTGGAAAATATTTTTGATGGCAAGTATCCAAAGAATAAGGGAGGGCCACATGGATGTTTCTTGATTCGTAGGATGCATATGACACCAAAGATTTTATCATTTTTTTTGTTTTTGTTTCTAGAGTCGTGATCATACAATATATTACCATAGAAAATTCAAATAAACTAATCTTCTTTATCACTTACAATACGCTAACAAAAGGATTAAATTTGAATAAATAATTGACAACTTGCTTTCATTTTCATGCTTGAATTCATCATTTTCATGATGTGAACATGCAAAATATTACAGGAAATTTCTGTGAACTTAACTTTTTTAATGACTTGGTTTGGGTATGGCCAATATGGTAGTATCTCTAAAAATTGCCCTCTCGAGTGCCAGAGAAGCCAGAGTCATTGTATTTGTCAAAATTCTTGTGCTATATACTATATATATTATTGGATATGAGAATGACTGATCGGTATGGTCAATACTACTTTTGATTGATTGTTTTAGTTTTTTAATTGGGATTGGAAACTTTAGGACTAGAATGAAACACTCTACTGACGGAGGAGGAGGAAAGAAGATAGCCTTTATTAACTTGTCTGTAAAGTACCAAAGAAAATGACAAAAGCAAAAATCGTTGGTGAAGGAAACAAGAAAGGGCATCATAACTAAAAACTGTTCCGGTTTTGTTTGTAAGATGGTGGTACTCGCAAAGATTTCAGCTAAGTTAATATATGCAATAAAGAGTTAATATCAAATGAAAAATTATATGTACACGCGTTCACTTATCATATGTATTAATTTACCCGTCTGAAGATTTATCTTGAATAGAAAGAATAGTTACATATGTACTGGAGCATATATAAATCTATTTTAGTAAATGTCTATATTATTTTTCAACCTTATACTCCATAGGATTCTATCTCAAAAACTCACATATGACTATAACTACAAAAGGACTTAATCTCAAGACCTTTTATATAACTGTGACCTCTAAAAAATAGAATGTTTAGTTGTTGCAGTGTTAATTTGGTAAAGGTCTATTATGAAGAAAGAAAAGAGCAAAGATGATTTAAAATTGCGCTTTCATTTTCATGGGAAAAATTCTTGCTGGCATGTAGCCCAACAATAAGGGAGAGCCACATGGCTGTTTTCTTTGTCGTTTATAGTCGTCGTGATCATAAACTAATCTTCCTTTTCACTTACAATACGCTGAGAAAGGTTTATATTTGAATAAATAATTGATAAACGTTGAATTTGCGTTCCTTTTCTTCATGATTGACTTCATCTTTGTCACTTTTGATGTTGTTGTTGATGTGAACACGCAAAATTATACAGGAAATTTCACTGAACTAACTTTTTTTCAGTGACTTGGTTTGGGTATGGCCAATATGTTAAGAAAAGTATCTCTGAAAATCGCCTTTTGGAGTGTTAGAGAAGATATAATCACTGTATTTATAAAAAATTATCCTATACGTGTCTGTTTAATTAGTACTTGCCACATTAGGGGTGTTCAGTTCTGGATACCCTGTATTTTTTAAAGGAATCAAAACTAGAACTAGAGCTGACGGTTCCTTGAAATTTGAAATCAAAACCGGAACCGACAGTTTCGATTCTTAGGTTTCTAGAACCAGAACCTGTAACAATGGTTCCAGTTTTGGGTACCCTATAAAATTACATAGCCTCCTAAAAGTTTTTAAAATTGTAAAAAAACCCTTGGAAACTTATAAATAACCCCCCACGCCACCTGGCACTGGTTAACAAAAATAAAATTATAAATTATAAATTCAAAATTCAAAATTCAAAATTACAAACTCAATTACTTTTGTAAAGGTAGATTCTTAAAAGTCAAAACAACTTACTTTAAATGTTATAAAATATAAATATAAATATAAATGTACGCACATTACTTTCTCTATATAAGTTTTTGAGTAATACTACACATACATCATTTTCATACAATATTTTCCATACAACATTATGTAACAAAATATGATTGGTTAATTTAAAGTTAAAATTAAACTTTTACTCAATCACATATTGCCACATAATGTTATATGAGAAATGTTGTATGGGAATGATGTATGTGTAGTATTATTCTAAGTTTTTATTAACCCCCTACGTCTTTAATTTTATTTTATATTAGTTTTGGTTCCCAGTTTCGGTTCCTATAGGAACCGAAACTTACCCATTGACGATCGGTTCTGGGTAGGTATTGAAACCAAATCCTAGGTATCCGTCGGTTCTGGTTCTAATCGGTTCTTTTGAACACTCCTATGCCACATTATTTAGATTAACAATTAAGAGAAATCGAACTCAGAATCTCTTAAATAATGCATTCAAGAGTTTTTATTCTACCACTCAATCACCCAAGGATAATTAACTTATAAGTATGTTATGATTGGAATAAAGTATATGTTCTATCTCAGTACATTTTTGATTGATTGTTTTTGTTTTTAATTAGGATTGAGGGCTCTTTTAATACTAGAATAAAAGTAGAAGCAAAGAAGAATGCCTTTAATTTGTTCAGTCAAACTGTATCTGCTATTAAACTTGAAAATATAAAAGTGACAAGCCAAGAAAGGTTGGTGAAGGAAACAAAAAACAGCATCATACGTTAAATATGGAAATTTGTTTGTACTATGTAGGTACCTAATTTAGGTTTGTTAGCTAAGGCATTACATGTAGGGGTCAAAAAATTATTCCGTAGCACGGATATATATATATATATGCATCCGTACGTCTACTCATCCTATGAAAGATTTCCTCAATTAAAATATATATTTGTTTAAATAGGATATGTACCAAACATCTTATAGCTAATGAAAAGATAGTACGGTGATATAGCCCTTTTTTTTTTTTTTTTGTTTTTTTTTTTGTTTTTTTTTTTTTTTTTTTTAAGGAGGTGTTTGACTTTTTGCCAGAATGCTTAATGTGTTTACAATAGATTCAGAAATTTTTATTAGGATAAGTCAAATAAAAATTAATTATATATTAATATTTTTATTAAGGTGCGTTAAAATTTAAAAATTATACATATTAATATTTAAAAAAGAAAAATATGGGGCACGCATGATCAGCTAGATTCGCCCCTATGTGTTTGTTAATTGTATCAATCTGAATATACAAAAATGAAGGATTTGTTCATTTTTTAATTATCATATGTTTAATTATAAGTGTCGAGTTTGTTTTTATATACAGTAAATGTTTTAAAACTGGTGTTTTGACACTTATATCCTTATTATATTTTATATAATTCTGTTTTCTAACATATTTTAAAAAATTTAAATTATTAAATTACGAAAATCAAATCAAAGCAAAGCAAATGTTATCATTTATAAATCAATAATACTAGAGGTACAAAGAGGTTTACGAAAATTTCTTGTACAAAGTGATGTAATAAGAGATGAATGGTAGAGTGAATATAAAAAGTCAAACTCATCATATTTACTCTTCTATTCATCTCCTCTCACATCACTCTGTACAATAAATCTTTATAAATTTCTTTGTATCTCTAGCATTATCCTAAATTCTTTATAAATTAAAGAGAACCATATACTGTATATTGTTGAGAAGTATATGTATTTTGTTTGAGTCAAATTTGTAACACCCAAAATAAATTGATTCTTTTATTGCCTCTTCAAATGCAATTGACACGAAGGATGGACTGTCAGTGGAATTTACAAAGATAAACAAAGACCTTTTGCATTGATTTTAAATACAGAGTAATAAAATAACTTGTTATGTAGAGGTGTTTGATCATGGGCGGTTACCATGATCATTTAGTCATAGTGCAAAACTTTTTTGATGCATTTGGTTTAAGGTATATTGTATTAGTTGGAATGTTATATTAACGAAAAAAAGATTACCTCGAAGATTTTGGAGAATGTTATATTCAAAATGTTTTTGGTTGGATTGGAATAAATTGATGGGTATGGTATATTGATATGTTTGGTTGATATAAAATTATAAATAAATTCGTGGTTATGTTATATAGTTTACTGAATTACCTTCCTTTTTAATATCATTATTATTATTATTATTATTTGAACTATTTCTTTTAATCCCTTACATTTGAGATTTTACTAAAATACCCAAGCCACAATAAAAGTTTAAATTCTAACATAATCACCCCCACCCACCCAAGCCATCATCACCAATTGCTAAAGCGGTGCATAACCAGCTAGATTTGGTTGACCATGGGCCGATTTGGCTACTTTCCGTAAGATCAATGGCCAGAAACGACCAGATGATCTTGGATCTGGCTAAAAATGGCCAGATCTATTTTAGCATTAACGGCCATGAATGTGGCAGGTTTTTACCTTTGATTTGGTTGGAAACAGCTAGATTGGTGCACAGTCGGCCATATTTTACCTGTTGTGGCTGTTTTGACAACTAATAATGGTAGCCAGGGGTGGTGACTGGCAGCCAGCGGTGGTGACGACAGCCAGTGGTGGTGGTTGGCGGCTAACCATGGGGGCCAAATCTAGTTGTGGTCTTGGGTAATTTAGTTGAAATACAAGGGCAATAATGTCTTAAAAATCTTGTATATAAGGTTAAAATTGTCTATGAAAATTCGTGAAATTTTTTTAGACAACAAAGGCATTATTGTCTTAAAAATTTATTAATAAGGAATGCAATTGTAACAAAAATAAGATTACCGAGTAATGTCAAAATACCAAAGAAAATGATGATAATAAGTTACCACCTATTTAACTAATAATGATTATTATTAGTATTAGAGGATTACTAAAATCTCATTTTATTAGACGACCAAACATGATAATGTAAATAATATAAAACAACATTAGTTGAGTAATGTCAAATAGACAAATACCCTCCAACCAAACCAATCCAGTCATGGGGCATGTTCTTATATCTAACACCATGGCGCCCCAGGCCTTAATTCTTCGGCTTCTCTTGAGCCTTTTCCTCTGGGCTCCTTTACCACTAAATCTTGGGTCTGGACCTTTCCTTTTTGAACCCAACATATGTGAACTGATCCTGAGACTTCATAACTTGAGTCTGTGAATTTTATATGCACATCATAACAAAAGCCCAGAATACCACAAGGCACGTTATGGTTTTGTGTTGGGCCCACACACAAAGATATTCTAAAGTATAAACAATTATTTATAATTTAATAAATAAAAAATAACATGCAAAACTTACTACCTTTGTCTTAGTAAACCCTGGCATTTTCGTCATGTCATCAATCATGGACTATAGGGTTTTCCCAGGCCCATTTATCATGGGTTTCGCTGTTGGGCTTCCTTGGTATGACCTAGACTCATCTTATCCCCAACAGTTTCTTTTCAAAATATAGTGCAAATTTTTTTATTTTTTTTCTAGGTAATTTACCCGTAAATTGACCTCTTTTATGGGACAAGAAACCATATTTGGTCGATTACAAGCATGAAAAATTGTTTATTTGACCCATGAAGAGATACATATTATTGGAATACTCGTTACAAATGTTGAGCAAAATCTTTGTTTATACAATTTACACAAACATTTAAATACACACCAGATATGAAGGGGATAATACGAATCTTAGAATTTGAATAGTATTATATAATGAATAGAGATTTGTGTTTTCACTTCGGGTCATGTTTCTATATTGCTTTGTCTTCATTAGTGATTCAGTGAATATGGTTTTGTAAAGTTATTATCATTATTATTTTTTAATATAATGATTAGTCTTTGAATTTGAACTAATTGTTTGAACCCTTTGTTTTCTTTCTCTCTTTCAATTTGTTTGACCGTAATGGTTAGGGGTGGGATAATCCGATTAACCGAACCGGATTATCAAAACCAAAAACCGGATCAATTTTGGTTAAAAATCGAATGTAAACCGAACTGAATTTTCGGTTCGGTTACCGATTAATCAGTTTTCAAATTATCCTTTAATCCTTAAAATTCTTCAATGTTTATTTAAGTTCTTAAATTCAAATATTTATTATTTTATATATAATTTCATACTATATTTCTCTTTTATTTTATATTATTATTGTATTCTTTGTATGAAAAATACATTAAATTACTTATTTACAAATACTGAATCCAAAATATGAAATAAAAACATAAAGAATTCAATTACACATTACTAAATAGTCAATATTCATTAATAAACTCGAATACATAACATAAAATTATAAAGTAAAAAAACTTAATATAACATAAATCATCTTCACCCCACAATGTTGGTGTTGGTGGAGTTTCTTGATTCCGCACTCTCCGGATTTGTTAATGGCACACGAAGAAGATCACCATCTGTAATTAACAACTATAAATATTAATAAATAAAAATAATAAAACATATGAAATATTATTTTCACTATCCAGTTTCTCTCTTTTCAACTTAATAAAACCCTCTTCCCGCTAATTCCATTTAACCATCCAAAATGCTTCCACCGAAAGTCCAAAATCATAACACTCATAGCCCCCTTACGGCTTACACTCATCCATTTATCCACATTATCAACATTTGCACTTCAATATCTACTAAGATACCAAATAAACTCAAAATATGCACTCCATCACCAAACATTACGGCTTACACTCATCCATTTATCCACATTATCAACATTTGCACTTCAATATCTACTAAGATATTAATAATATTTGTTACATAAGCTCCTTAATTATGAGCTTTACATCTCTAATCCATATTTAACAGCCTTAATCTCTTCAAATGTAGTGTAGGGTTAACTTTACCAAAACCTAATCTAACAACAAAATTTCCAGAAAACCGTCTCACAAAATCCCAAAATCAACAAACAAAAACCCCCAATTTCCTTCCCGCCACACCTAGTAATGGTTGAGTATTATCATTTAGTCAGTGTCCTGCAAAGCCATGTCTCCAAATTCCACATTTGACAAAAATGTCCGTTTATTTTAGTATTTTGGATAAGATTTTTGATATTTTTAGAGTTGGGTGGGAATAACGAGGTAGGATTTAAAAATTAACAAAAACACCCTTCTAGGTTTGCTAATTTACGAAACACCGCAATATATAAAATTTTTGTAAAATGACAAAACACACCCACTCACAGTTGCTAAATTCCGGCCACCATCGCTGGAATCTGGCGTTACGGTGTGCACCGCCGATCGAATTTGGTCATCCGTGTGTCGATATGGCCTTTTCTGGCCAGGTCTACCACAGATCTGGCCGATATCTTGGCTGTCATGACGACCAGCTATGACCAAAGATCTGGCTGTCAACGGCCAGATCTTTGGTCATGGATCTAGCCTTTTCTGACAAGATCCACGGTGAATCTAACTGGAAAATAATAGATCGGCATACTACGGGCCAGATCTAACGAATAGTGTGCCATTATACCATATTCCAGCCACCTTCCGGCAGTAGTGGCCGGAATCTGACAAATATGGGTAGATGGGGGTGTTTTTGTTAATTTTTAAACTTTTTTTTGAAAGTGTTTAGTTAAATTAATAAACTCAAGGGATTTAAAGTAATTGAAGAAAATATAATAATATTTTGATGATAGAATTGGAAATAGGATCCCAAATAATGAAACAAACGGACCAATAAGCCAATTTGGATGATGATGCAGCTGAGAGGAAAAATTAAGCAAATTGTGCTAGACAATTAAAGTCAGAGTTAGACTTGTGCATGGAGGAAATTATTGAAGAGTCGTCTCCAGACTTTGACATTTTGATTTGGTGGAGGCAAATATCCAATTTTGTCTATGATAGCTAAAGATATCTACTATTGTTTTTGAATCCGCATATATTATGACTTTGCGAATATTTTAATTTGAATTTTGAGCCAACCAACATTAATTATTTATTTATTATTATTTTTTTTTTTGAGTTTAACCTATTCATAATGCAATTATGCAAATAAATTCATTAAATTAAATTATTTAATTTTATATTATAAAAAATATATCAACATAAACATTCCGAATGTTTGTAATTGCAAATCTCAATTCTTTCATATGTAGTTTTTATATTTTTAAAATATTTAGATATCTAATTAGAAATTTAATTTTTTTTTTAAAATAAATTGTAAATTAGTAATTTGTAAAGTTACAAACAAAACCCTGTAAAATTATTAACACCTTAAGTATCTAGTAAAATTCAGGCAGCCCCACTCATTTTAACAAAACCCGGACTTTAAGCCCGGGTGAGTTCGGCTCGGGCAATAAAAACCCCGGGTTTGCCCTTTCAAAATCAACCCCGGGCCGAGCCCGGGTCCGGGTATTTGCATCCCTATTCAAGTAATAATTCTCGAGTGGTCGGCTTTATGGATTACCTGAAGTCTAATCTTATTTCTATTCTTAACTGGTTATTTCTTTCAATTCAAACCAGCAATTCCTCTCTCTGCATTACTCTCAAAAAAACCATGAAGCAATACTGTTTCGATTCCGGATGGTTTTTATTTCATTTCCTTCATTTGTTTCATCTTTTTTGGATAATCATCTCAGCCTCATCAGATTTTGAAGCTGATGAACTCGCTTTACTTGATTTCAAGAAAGGAATCACTCAAGATCCCCTTCAAATTACAAGATCCTGGAATTCTTCTATGCATTTCTGCAATTGGACTGGTGTTACATGCAATCCAACTAATGGAAGAGTCTCAATCTTGAACTTGGACTCGCAAAGCTTGGTTGGCTCTATCCCACCTTCCATAGGAAACTTTACATCTCTTACAGTCATCAATCTGGGAAACAATAGCTTCCATGGTGAAGTTCCTCCAGAAATAGGCCGCTTACAGCACCTGCAGCATCTCAACCTGTCTTGCAATTACTTTGGCGGGAGTATTCCAACGAAGTTATCTCGTTTTACAAAACTTCGAGTATTTCAACTTGGCTGCAACGAGTTTATCAGGCAGATATTGGACCAGCTTAGTTCATTGTCGAAACTGGTACAACTAATCTTGCGGTTAACAATCTTACAGGAAAAATTCCATCTTGGATAGGTGATTTTTCTTCCCTTGTCACACTGTCACTTTTATCCAAAAATTTACAGGGAAGCATACCCAAGGAATTAGGCCTACTATCAAGCTTGGAATTTTTTCAACTTGGTGGGAATTATGTCTGGTACCACCCCTACTTCAATCTTTAATCTCTCTTCTATGTACTTTTTCTCTGTGGTTCAAAACCAGCTGCACGGGTAGTTGCCGTCAGATGTTGGACTCAATCTCCCCAATCTTGAACAATTTCATTGTGGTATTAACTATTTTACTGGAAGCGTTCCTGTGTCATTGCCAAATGCTTCTAAACTTCAGGCAGTGTCTTTTGGTGAAAATGGTCTCACCGTGAAAATTCCTGAAAACCTTGGAAGCTTGCGAGGTCTAGTTACATTAATTTTTGAACCTAATAGTCTTGGAAACGGAGAAATTGGAGATTTTAATTTTTTATCCTCCTTGGCTAATTGTAGTAGGCTTAGAGGGTTGGGTCTTCATGGAAATCGTTTTGGGGGAGAATTGCCTAACTCCATAGGCAACCTTTCAACTCAGTTGCAAGGTCTTACAATGGGATCTAATCTGATTCATGGAGAGATCCCAATTGGGGTTTCCAACCGTCTAGGATTGGGAAATAACTATTTAAGTGGTATTGTTCCCGATGTTATTGGGAGGCTCCGAAATCTAGAAGTATTGGCTCTTCATTTCAATAGTTTTTCTGGATCAATCTCAACGTCCTTTGGTAACTTGACTAAACTATTTGCCCTTTATATGTCAGAGAATAAATTTCAGGGAAGCATACCTCTGAGTCTCGGAAACTGCCGAAATTTGCAAGTACTGGCTTTGTCTAGCAACAGTCTGAACGGCACCATACCCAAACAAGTAGTTGGTCTTTCTTCCATTTCAATTTCTTTGGACTTGTCTAATAATTTTTTGACTGGTTCACTACCACTTGAAGTGGGTAACTTATCCAAGAACAAATTATTAGGTGAAATTCCTAGTAGCCTTCATACTTGTACTAGTTTGGAACGTTTGTACTTGGGAAGTAACATGTTTGAAGGGACTATTCCTCAATCTTTGAAAAGCTTAAAAGGTTTAGAAGAATTGGATCTTTCTCATAACAACTTATTTGGTCAAATTCCTGAATTTTTTACCCAACTTTAGTCTCCTGATTGGCATTGTTGCTGGCCTACTTTGAGCTTCAAAATTGGTGGAGGAAACTTTGGATGAGACGAGATCACGGGCTTTGTTCCTAGTTTGTAAAGCTTGGCTAACCCAATGGCTAAGGATAATGTTGAAGGCCTTCCCACTTGAACTTCAGTTCTAATATTGTCCTTTAATCCACTGATAAAAAAACTAAACTATATTGTAGAGTAGAGTTAGCTGGAAAAATAAATTAATTGTTGGTTTAATGTTGGAAACCAAGACCTCAAGGCAACACCTTTTTGACTATAAAAACGCACCCCCTCTTTAGTGCTTCATCTCTCTTATATAAGAGATTATAATTAACAAAATATAAAATAATAGGAGCTAATGCCTAGAAAATAGGAGATAATCACTCTAACAATCACATCTTCCACAATCAAATATTATCCTTATTTGACTAATTCAACTATGACTCATTAAAAAAACAGATAATTTAATTAAAAATATATTTATCTTTTAAGAAGGTAACATTCCTTCCCCTTGAAAACACCCTTGTCCTCAAGGGTTTAATTCAACTAAGGTGGTCATGGTATTTCAGGACTTCCACCAATAATTTCCATCTCTTCATCTGCATCATTGTCATTAAGATAAGCTTGAACAATGAACAACTTTTTGCACCGATATCCGAGACCAAATTTTTCATTACATTTGAAGCATAATCCCTTTTTCCTTCTTTCATTTATTTCTTCCATTGTTAGTCTCCAGATTGGCATTGTTGCTAGACTACTTTGAGCTTCATAATTTGTGGACGAAACTTTGGATGAGATGAGATCACGGGCTTTGTTCCTAGCTTCATAAAGCTTGGCTAACCCAATGGCTGAGGATAATGTTGAAGGCCTTTCCGCTTGAACTTTAGTTATGATATTGTCCTTTAATCCACTAATAAAACAACTGACCTGCCTTTCCTGTGCCAAATGTCCAGTTTCGAAAAGCAATTTTTTGAACTTAGTCTGATATTGCTCAACGGATCCTTGCTGTTGCAATTTGGTGAGTTCGCCAAAGAAATCAAAATATTGGTTTGGACAGTAACGAGAGTGAAGCCCATATTTGAATTCTTCCCAAGTAATAACCCGTGCTTCCTGCTTCAAGAGTTGATACCATAATTGGGCGTCTCCTTCTAAATGAAAGGATGCAAGCAACACTTTATCAGTTGATGGAGTGTCATGAAACTGAACAAATTGCTCAACTTGGCATATCCAACTGGTAAGGTCTTCTTGGCTGTTAAAACAAGGAAAAGTTAATTTGACTAACTTTGGTGTGTACGTGGAGCGAGAGCCATCCCCACTACTACTACCATGAGCCCCACTGAGGCGGGTCTTTGCTCCAGAACTCTCTCCTTCTTGCCTTGAATTTGATCAATTCGGGTATTGAGTTGGGAGAATAATTCCTTTAGTTGATTGATGATGGTTTGCCATCCCCTTGATAGGGACCGCACTTTCTTCTCCAATTGCTCCACTCTCTGATCCATGCCTGAGCTCTGATACTACTTTGGTATGAACTAGCTTTTCTTTTTAGAAGGACCTATATTGTAGAGTAGAGTTAGCTGGAAAAATAAATTAATTGTTGGTTTAATGGAGGAAACCAAGACCTCAAGGCAAAACCTTTTTTACTATAAAAACGCACCTCCTCTTTATTGCTTCGTCTCTCTTATATAAGAGATTACAATTAACAAAATATAAAATAATAGGAGCTAATGCCTAGAAAATAGGAGATAACTTTTCTGATGAAAATTTGCTTGGTGTGGGTAGTTTCAGTTTTGTCTACAAAGGTGCTCTTTCTAGTGATGGAAAAGTTGTAGCAATTAAAGTGTTAAAAGTTCAACATCAAGGGGCCTTAAAGAGTTTCATTGATGAATGTAATGCTTTGAAAAGCATACGACATCGTAACATTCTTAAGATCATAACTGTTTGCTCTAGTGTTGATTATGAAGGTAATGACTTTAGAAGTCTTGTTTTTGAGTACATGTCTTATGGAAGTTTGGACAAGTGGCTACATTCGGTTCCTAACGAGCAACTTGCTAGAATCAAGAACTTGACCATTGTGAGACTCCAATTGTGCATTGTGACCTCAAGCCAAGCAATGCGCTACTTGATGAAGATATGATAGCCCATGTTGGTGACTTTGGACTGTCAAAGTCATTTTTGAATCATCAGATAATGCCTTGCAAAATCAAATAACATCAGTTGGTCTAAGATGTTCTATTGGCTACATCCCTCCAGGTATTAGTTATCTTTTTTTTTTTTTTTTTTTAAATTATAATTGAATTTTAGTTTTTGATTACTATTTCTCTAACTAAGTCACTCTTCTAAAAGTTTAAAAAATAATATCTAGCAATATTATTTTAACCGGTAACTAAATTAAATATATACTCTTTCTTAAAACTATGTACTATATGGTTTCTAAAGCATTGTAAGTATACATCATGCATACCTGTAGCTGACAAGGGTTCAAGAGGGACTATACCTTTTACGAGGAGAACTCAAAATTTCAAATATTATGTTTTAAAACTTTCAACATTAATAAAATATAAAAATTTGAACCTTTCAAAAATATTTCTCATTTTCTCTTACTCATGTATCTTAAAACCAATGAACTTCAAGCATATTAATTTTAAGAAACTCTTAGCAGTCTTATCCTTTGATTAATTAAATATAACATTTCTCATTTTAATTATTATCATACATTAAGTTATCACATTTTTTTTTCATTATTTTATTATATTCTTTCAAAATACACGTGTAATATGATATAATTACCTTTTATGTATATTATATGCGCCGACTACACTTTCAAGTGTTTTATACTTTCTGTGTTGATATCTTACTGACCAATTTCGCACATTGTAGAGTACATGGATGGCCATGTTTNTGCCCTTACTTCAGAATAATACTAGGGCTACCGACGTTTCTAGAATGGCTACCATTTGTGCTCATAGGGTTCTCACTATCAAGATTTGAAACACTTGATACCCTCGTCACAGTTCTACCATTCTAAGGACATATATCAAAACATATTGCAACAATAATGATTTACGCGATATAGAATAAAATGCCTTTTATTGATTAATGAACATTATTACAAAGAGTCAATTCTATAATAATTGATTGGCTCTAGGGCATCTACTCTAACATTATATACTAAAACAACTAACAAAAACAATAAAAAAGCAAAACAATAATATCACCAAAAACAAAAATCCAAGAACTGGGTATTGAAATTCATATTCAAACTGATAGAAAAACATACTTGAACATGGACTTCATAGTTGGAAGGTTCATTGGCGAGCTGGGACTTGATGTCTTGAAGCTCAAATTTTTGTTATGCTTCATATTCTGAGTCTGACTCCAAGTCACTTAAGTCTCTCGAGTCTAGAGGCTTGGGTTCTATTGCTTTTGGGTTTTTGTTAGTATCTGCCATAGCCGTGTCTGTGTCTTCTTCTTCTCGGGTTTTTGGCGCTAGGGTTTAATCTTCTGGTTCCATTCTTCTGCTTCGTTTACTCTGTGCTTCTCTCAAGTGTACTAAAGGGTTGGGTTTATTGCAATAGTACCTAGAGATTTGGCGTGAAATTTCCCTAATTCTTTTAAAATCACACTTCACCCCCATATATATTCTAATTCTAATAGGGAAGATTTTTTAATGTCTAGTATCTAGTACTGAAATTATTATTATTAACATTTTACTTTATTAGTTCATTTCTGATACATTAAAACTAATAACTAATAAATGAACTGATACCTAGGGCTGAGCGGTTCCGAATACCCTGCATTTTTCAGGGGAACCGGAACTAGAACCGCACAGTGCAGGTTCCCAAAAACAGGAACCAGAATCGAAATCGGAACCGTATAGTGCAGGTTCTTAAATTCAAGGAACCGAAACCTAAAATTCAGGTTCCGGCTCCTTTCCCGGGTACCCTATAAAAAATCAATTACCCCCTATTAGTTTAAAAAATGACAAAAATACCTTAAAATTTTACAAATACACCGCCAAAAAATTTTGATTACTCATTCATTTGTGTCCAATGTAACTCATAAATCCTCTAATCTCTAGGCAACACTTGAATTCAATCAATTCATCACAATTCACATAAAATTTCTCAATCAAAACCAAGACACAAACAATTATTCATCTGTAAATTGTTAATTTAATGTTATAAATTGTTAATGTTTATAATGTAATATAATAATATTGTAATTAATTAAGTAATTATTTAATTATAATGTAATGTTATAATTAATTAAGTAATCATACTATACATGTATAATATAATGTTATAATTAATTAAATTTCTAATTATTTAATTAAATATTGTACTAATGTTTATAATGTAATGTTATAATTAATTAAGTAATCATACTATAAATTTATAATGTAATGTTACAATTAATTAGATTTTTTAACCATTTAATTAAGTAATGTACTAATGACTAATGTAGTAAATTAATAATGTTTATAATGTAATGTTATAAATTTATAACTAATTAAGTAATCATTTAACTATGTAATGCTATAATTAATTAAGTGATCATAATATAATGTAATGTAATAATGTTATAATTAATTACGTAATAATTTAATTAAGTAATCATTTGTTTATAATGTAATGTTACAATTAATTAAGTAATCGTACTATAAATTTATAATGTAATGTTAATATGTTATAATTAATTAAATTTCTAATCATTTAATTAAGTATTGTGCTAATGTTTATGTAGTAAATTACTAATGTTTATAATATAATGTCATAATCAATTAAGTAATCATTTAATTATATAATGTTATAATTAATTATGTGATCATACTATAATGTAATGTTATAGTGAATTAAGTAATCATACTATAAATCTTTAATGTAATATTATAATTAATTAAATTTTTAATCATTTAATTAAGTAATATAATAATGTAGTAAATTACTAATATTTATAATGTAATGTTATAAATTTATAACTAATTAAGTA